AACCATCATTAGTATTGATCAGTACTTCCTGTAAGATGCTGCATTCTGATGACAACACTTCCTGTTTCACATGAACACAGATCCTCAGAGTTAAACCACAGCCTGTGACTGAAGATCACCATCAGCACTGCAGGTTAATGTTACCGTTTGGTCTGAGATCTTTATCTCACACAAAGACTACATGAAGTCTCCATCTGTAACTTTAAGAGTTACATTAACGCAAATCCTTAAAGGGGACCTATCATGCAAAATGCACTTTTGTACGTCTTTTATACATGAATATGTCTCCCCGGTGTTCCAGGGAACTCACCAAGTGTCAGAAAACACAACCCTCTCTATTTTCCTCCATACCCAAATCTCTAAAAAAGGGGCTGCAACGGATCTGATAAAAACTGATCCAGATTTGAACACTGTCCTGACGTCAGGACGGTGGCGCTACGGCTATTGGGCCAACTCCACCAATCAGGAGTAGACAGCCACGGCCATTGCCGTTCGAAAGTGCTGGAGACGCTGTAGTACATATGCCAGGCCTGTAAGTGGCGCTGTAGTCTGCCACAAAAGCAGCGAAATAGACTTGGTTACCATGGTTACCCTTCTGTTTATTCTCCACTGTGCCTTTCTTTCTCCCTCCCCGAAGCAAGAGTTTGCTCCCGCTGCTTTAATTCAATGCAATCCCTCCCCGTCGAGGCAAGCACTGTAATTCTCTCCGGTTAGTCCACCAGCAGATGACAAACACCCACCTCTCCGCCTCTTCCAAGGAACGAGGGGACCGTGCGGCAGAGTTTCAGTTTCAGTTTGTTTCGCCGGTCAAGATGTCCGTTAAAGTTTAAATCTTCCGGACAAAATTAGAAAAGTGCCGGTCAAAGGTCTTCTTTGTTATTTATTGAGCTTTAAAACAAATGAATAACGACTCTATACAGTATAATAAAACACGGAGGACTGAGATCTCTTTTTCTCCCCCTCTTCTGACAGCCCAGCAGCTGATCAGAGCACGTATCCCCTCTCCTGCAGGGGGGCGTGGTCAGCAGAATCAGACCCGTAGACAGCAAACAGCACATAGAGCGAAATGAGGCATGGCTAAAATGCATGATCTGTTTGGTATTTTGAAAACAGAAACGTCTAAATATACCTTATATAGGTATGGCCCTACAATATATCATTTAAATATAGCATGATAGGTTTCCTTTAAAGTACATAACCTAAAAAGTATTTAATGTCAACACACTTTTTTACATTTATGACATTTTTGGACAAAACACTTAGATAGATAGATATAAACTTTATTTATCCCAAATTGGGAAATTGTTTTTGTTCCAGCAGCAGTGTCAAGCCGTACGCAAGTTGTAAATGTTTAAAAGATACAATAAGATACAAATATAATAAAAAGTTTAAATTAACATTAACGGCATGTATATATAGTAAGAATACAAATCAAAAGATTAATAAATGAATCAAGAAAATATTTTGCAGATTAAATGATTATGAAAACAATCATATTCATTATTTCACAGAAAGTAATGACTTCATTTTACTAATTCAGTAAGCAGATAATAACTGAGTTTAATGATGATGTACAGTTAGTTTGAGGAAGTGAAGCATGTCATTGGTTGCATAGGTACTAAAAAGCCTGATTTTGGAATATTTGAATAACTCGTACTGCTGAAGCCTTGCATTAACTCAAGAATAACAGAAAAAGAAAACAAATGAATTACTAACATGAAAATAAAGTGATGTACTCACAGAAGAGGAAGAAGAAGCAGATCAAAGTGTGACAGACTTTCATGCTGAGACTCTGATGGTTTACCGCTGACTGTCTTTCTTCACTGGCTAACCAGGAACTTGTTACTTCTTTAAATGATGAAGTCCCTCCTCCAAACACAACACAGCTCTACTCTCCTCCCCAACGCAGAAACACTATGGTTTAAAAATACTCCAATGAAAGTTGAACTGAATTAAAAATGTTAGTAATTATCAGCAAAATGTACTTTCAGTTTCAGTAAAAGTTATCATTATGCACCAATCTCATCTCTCAATTTCACAGTGTTGTTTTATTATAGAATAGTATATTCTGTTTTTATGTCTAACAAATACATGTAGGAGCATTTTAATGTTGTAGTGTGTCAAGGTGGAGCCAATTTGATATAAGTAGTGTACAGTACTGCATCATATCATCATGTTTCATATATCAAACGTTACAAGTAGCCTAACTGAGTGTCAGATATCTATAGTTGAGTAAAACATTATAAAATCTCGAAGCATTACATTTAAATACTCAAGTAAAGAACCAGTTAGTTATGTACAAAAAAGGTTAACATAGAAGCTTAATTCAGGCAGATATTGGCAAAATTAGTAAACTTTTAATTTCCATCATTTCACGACAACGCTCACTTACTCATGTATATGTTGTTGAGTCAACAGTAGAAAAACAAATATTACTGGAAATGATATCTGTAGTTTCATCACATTGTTCCCCTGAAAGAAGGAAGAAGTACTCAGGTCTTGTACTTAAGTAAAAGTAGAAGTAACAGTGTAGGAATACTCTGTTACAAGTACAAGTCCTGTATTCAAAAGGTTACTAAAGTAAAAGTAACATGATTAGCATCAATACTTAAAGTACCAAAAATATAATTATTAAATATGTAAATTCACTGATTCCAGAATAATATATGTTTTGATTATAATTATTGATCATTAAAGTGTTATCAAAGCTGGTAAAGGTGCAGCTAGTTTTAATTATTCTGTATGCTGCAGGGTAGCTTGTGAATTGACTCCAGGTGTAGCTAAAGTCTGATTTAAGTGTGGATTATATTTCACATTATTTATCAAAATGTGCAAAGTAAACCAAGATAATAAATAGATGTAGTGGAGTAAAAGTACACAGATTACCTCTAAATTGTAGTGGAGTAGAAGTACAAAGTAGCAGAAAATGGAATTATCTCAAAGTATCTCAACATTGTACACCAGTTGAGTTAATGTACTTAGTTACTTCCCACCTCTGTCCTAATGTTAGTTTAAACGGAAAATAACTTTTTTTTAACAGAACACGGCTAACAGAATCAGTCTGGAGCTAGCTTAAAGTGGACCTATCATGCTATATTTAAATGATATATTGTAGGGCCATACCTATATAAGGTATATTTATACGTTTCTGTTTTCAAAATACCAAACAGATCATGCATTTTAGCCATGCCTCATTTCGCTCTATGTGCTGTTTGCTGTCTACGGGTCTGATTCTGCTGACCACGCCCCCCTGCAGGAGAGGGGAGACGTGCTCTGATCAGCTGCTGGGCTGTCAGAAGAGGGGGAGAACAGAGATCACCGTCTTCCGTGTTTTATTATATAGAGTCGTTGTTCATTTGTTTTAAAGCTCAATAAATAACAAAGAAGACCTTTGACCGGCACTTTTCAAATTTTGTCCGGAAGATTTAAACTTTAACGGACATCTTGACCGGCGAAACAAACTGAAACTGAAACTCTGCCGCACGGTCCCCTCGTTCCTTGGAAGAGGCGGAGAGGTGGGTGTTTGTCATCTGCTGGTGGACTAACCGGAGAGAATTACAGTGCTTGCCTCGACGGGGAGGGATTGCATTGAATTAAAGCAGCGGGAGCAAACGCTTGCCTCGGGGAGGGAGAAAGAAAGCCACAGCGGAGAATAAACAGAAAGACCTTTGACCGGCACTTTTCTAATTTTGTCCGGAAGATTTAAACTTTAACGGACATCTTGACCGGCGAAAGTAACTGAAACTGAAACTCTGCCGCACGGTCCCCTCGTTCCTTGGAAGAGGCGGAGAGGTGGGTGTTGAGGCAAGCACTGTAATTCTCTCCGGTTAGTCCACCAGCAGATGACAAACACCCACCTCTCCGCCTCTTCCAAGGAACGAGGGGAACGAGGCAAGCGTTTGCAGCGGGAGCAAACGCTTGCCTCGGGGAGGGAGAAAAAAAGCCACAGCGGAGAATAAACAGAAGGGTAACCATGGTAACTATGGGCGGGAAGTCTTCTTCGCTGCTTTTGTTGCAGACTACAGCGCCACTTACAGGCCTGGCATATGTACTACAGCGTCTCCAGCGCTTTCGAGCGGCAATGGCCGGCCGTGGCCCAACCCCACATTCCCCTGATAGGTGGAGAGTTGGCCCAATAGCCGTAGCGCCACCGTCCTGACGTCAGGACAGTGTTCAAATCTGGATCAGTTTTTACCAGATCCGTTGAAGCCCCTTTTTTAGAAATTTGGGTATGGAGGAAAATAGAGAGGGTTGTGTTTTCTGACACTTGGTGAGTTCCCTGGAACACCGGGGACACATATTCATGTATAAAAGACGTACAAAAGTGCATTTTGCATGATAGGTCCCCTTTAACTTACCGAGGCAGGAGAAGAGCTGTTAGTCCATTAAGAAGAAAACTGCACTCCTGAAGTTCTTCGTACCTTCTGAAGTGAAACATGTCACTGTAATAAGTCATGAATAACACTTAAATTACTGTTCGGGATAAGATTAAAAGATCAACTACGCAGCTCCTCATTCCTCTCAGGTTCACTTTCTCTGACCGGAAACTGCTCTGTAAAACTTCCGGTCAGTTTTAGATAAAGTTTGGACTTGAGGATCCACATCTTTAATTTAAGATTAATATTGTATTGCGTTGTTTTTTTTTACTCAACATTAGTTTAAAAATATCATGTGTTCAATACATGAATTATTCATTTTTAATTCCACATTCATCAGCGAAAACACTTTCCTACACTTCATGAGTTTAATCAATACAGCATCATCTTCCCAAATGTTAAACATACATTCAAACATATGTTAGGTTAAAGTCAATATCATCTTTTCTTGAGTATTTCCATTTACTGCTACATTATACAATATACTTCATTACACTGCTAGAAGCATTTTACTGCTGCTCTGTTGTTTTTCCTCTGAAAACAATTGTTTCTCTCTTATATTGTAAGATGTTAATGGACTGATTGAGCGCTTAGCAAGTGAAAAAAAGCATGCATTTGCAGGGACTTCCTGTGAAGCTGAACATTTATTTTGGGATACATATTTCTCTGTAAGGAAGACATCTTTTAGCAAATTGCGTGAGAGGTAGTTTCCTGTGTTGTGAAGGACAACATTCTCAGCTACAGTCTGGCTGAACCACTCTAAAGACATGTATTATATATATATATATATATATTATAAGATATTAAAAAGAACAGAAAAGCCAATGTTGATCGGAGACACATTAGAAAAAGGTACAACAATTTAGGAAATCTAATAATCAAATAGAAGTGACTCATACAGGTAGCTGATCACACTTCTAACCACAGGAACAAAAAAGACGGAGACTCATTTTAAAATATACAACACCTGATGAGCACACATCTGGGGGAGTATATCTGTAAATATAAAAAGGGAAATGACGTTAAATAGAAAATGACAGAAATACAAAGGGTACTTTAAAACCAAGAAGATCAAACCGTGGTAAACTGCAAGCCAACAATACATTCTTTACACCATTTCCCAAAAACTTTGGATACGATAAAACTTTATTGATACCCAGGAGAATTGTTGTGTCTCAGCTGCAGATCAGAGTCGGAACACTGCCAATATAGAATAAAGTGTAAATATTGACAACAAACAAAAACAACTTCAATCCTTTTCCTTTGGTTGGGCCATTTGTCATATTTACACTTATCTGATATCTGTTTTTACATTTAACAAAAGTTTTTATGGATAAAAAAGCAAGAGATGTAAAAAACGTTCCCCCACTAGCATTATTGTTTGGGTCTGTGACCGGGGATAAAGCGTGTGGACATTTTTTAAAGGATGCCGCCTAAAGCTGCTGTTTTATGAGCCCAGAGTTAAATAACCCTAACTGTATTTTATGAATTAGAAGCAGTGTCAATGTTGTAGTAATCTTCGGTTTCATCTCCATTTGGTCGTGTATATCTGGCGTGAGTGTGAACAGAAGAGATTTCCACAGGAGGAGATCTGCTCCGGCCGGCCTCCCCGATATCATCGTACACTCGGTCGGTCTACAGGAGAAGAGGTGTGAATATCAGCTGGTTTCACAAACACTAATGATCTGGTTTACCAAAACTTACCTCTGTGACGAAATCATATTGTGTTTCCACAGGAGGTTCTGAAAAATACAGCAGTACGTTTAGATAATGACACTACACTGGAAAAACATCTTGCTCAGTCAAATGGAGACAAACACAGATTCATCCCTCATCAACTGTCATGTTACCTGGTTCCTCACTTTTGGCTTTACAAGTCCTCTTCCTGCAGAATACCAGCACAGACAGTGATGACACGATGACCAGGACGACCAGAGTCAGACGCACATACAGGATCCCACCTGTGGTTGTTGGAGGACAAACACAGGTCTGTTTTACACTGACAGTTAGTGGTCAGCAGGGTATCTTTGGGGGGAGTATTCTACTGCAGGTCAATAGTATATGCCACATAGAAGTGGTTACATCTGATTAGCTGTCTATTTAAATGTTCAGGTTGTAAAGAGTGTATACAGGCAAGAACATAGTTATGGAAGAATATCATTGCCATCCCTGCTCTATTATGTCTCATTGGTTGTTAAAGCTTTATTTATTAAAAATGTGTGTGGATGTACGTGTGGTTTTAGGGGAGGCTGGTGAAGATGTGGAGCTTTCACTTTGGTTTGATGTTTCTGTAGAGGCTGATGGGACGGATGATGAAGGAGTAGAAGTGGTCAGAGCTGTGAACAAAAACAAGCAAGAAGTCCTGAGAGAAATGAGATCCTCCCAAGTGTCTGTGTGTGTCAGCTGAACTAAATTGAGAGTTTAAAACATCAGCAGCTGTCAGTGAAAACTGTCTTCAGAGACATGAACAAACATTTTCATTATCAAGCAGAAACTCACCATCAGTGACGATGAGCCTAAACCTCTGGTATGGATCTATAGAGGAAGTTCTGTCCAGACCACACCTGTACCATCCTGAGTCAGACTGGGTCAGCTGGTCGATGCTCACATACAGAAATCCTTCTTTTGGAGATCCTTCAAGATATCTGATGCTGTATCTGCCTTTTTTCAAAATATCGTAAGTCGTTCCAACAAGAATGTCTCTTTCACATTCCTCCTTGCAGAAGAACATCTCGGTCCCAGAGCGAGTAAAGGAGCATTCAACTACAATACTTCCTCCAGTTCTAGCATAGATTGTTTTTTCTGCAGAAGGATCACCAACAAGTTTTGCTGTTGAAAAACAAAAACAATCAAAAGTTACTATGTGTAGATTACAAATTGTAGTTTCACTATTTTAAACTTTGTATATTTTCAGACGTGATCCAGTCACTGAGGGATGAGGTGTGACTATTTACAGTAATGAAACAGCTTTTTGACTGAAATTCTTTATTATTTTATTTCAATTTGATTTGGTATCATTATACTTTGGATTTATATTAGATTTGAATGATTTAATAAAATCGCAGGCTTTGTATTTTTAGTTATAAATAGTGTCTGATTGAGCTTAACTGATAATATATTATGACCCTGAGTTACCTTGAATTCATATGCTCATAACTTCCCTAAAACCTTACTTATCTAAACACTTCTGCATTAACTGTTCTTGAGAAAAGATGAGCTCGTCTCTTTCTGCAGAAGTGTTTTAAATGGTGAGGTTTAAGCAGAATGCATGTTTTAGGGAAGTACTGAGCATACAGTGAATGACATTTGGACTATACAGCATTAGTTGTGTTAGAGTTAGTTAACGGATGTTTTAATATATTTCTGCTGTTGTAAAACACGGGCCCGAATTAATTTAACTTTCTTTAAGACTTTTCTCCATTTTGGGATTCTTTGTTCACCGTGGAGTCATGCTAGAAAAAGTTATCAAATTCAAGATGATCTAAAAATTGTAATTTGGGGGTAAAGTATTCCTTTAAAGCCCGACCACAGACACACACCACCAGTTCAGTTGTTAATATTTTCTATTGATCTCGATCTATTACTAATTGTCTTACTTGTTAACAGAACACAGAGCGGCCATAGGATCTACTTCATTCAGATAAGAACAGAGACAACAGATCAATATGCTCGTGCCCCCGGTATTAAATTCTTCATCAATAATGTTCTAAACAATAATATTAAAAAACACTTGTATACTTGTGTCAGTTTCAGTTTATCAGTTACTTTCAGAAGACATGTAGGATTTAGATAAGTTAATGGTGAAAAGGTAAAACTATTATTAAGACAAGGAAGAAAATTCAGTTTTTAGTAAAACTCACCATCAACAACGATGATTTCAATATCCTTGTATGAAGCCCGTGTCAAAGATGGTCCCGCACCACACCTGTACTTTCCTGAGTCAGACTTGGTCAGCTGAGTGATGGTGACAAAAAAAACTCCATCTTTATAATCAATCCTGTATCTGCCACTCTGAACTGGGGCACCGGTTGTTTCAATGAGAATGTCTTCTTGTTCACATGGTTCCTTACAGAAGAACTTCCTGCCTCTATAAGAAGAAATGGAGCATTTAAATCTGACATTTTCTCCTTCAATTCCTGAATAGACAGAGAGTTGGGCACTGACGAGACCGGTGCTTCCATCCTGCAGAGCTGAACAAAGGATGAACAAAAGATGAACCATCATTAGTAGTGGTCTGTACTTCCTGTAAGATGCTGCAGTCTGATCACAACACTTCCTGTTTCACATGAACACAGATCCTCAGAGTTAAACCACAGCCTGTGACTGAAGGTCACCATCAGCACTGCAGGTTAATGTTACCGTTTGGTCTGAGATCTTTATCCTTCTTTAGACACAAAGACTACTTGAAGTCTCTATCTGTAACTTTAAGCTTTACATTAACGCAAATCCTTAAAGTACATAACCTAAAAAGTATTTCATGTCAACACCACTTTTTTTATTTATGACATTTTTGGACAAAACACTTCGATAGATATAAACTTTATTTATCCCAGCAGTGTCAAGCCGTACGTGAGTTGTAAATGTTTAACCTGTTCCACTCTGAGCCTGTTTTTCAGGTCTCAGGCTCGAAAATGACATTCCCAGAACAAATGACCATATCTTCCCTTCTAAAAGGGTTAAATTAATAATCTTTTCTCAAAGTAATGATAAACCTGTGAGTTGGATGTAGAAGTGTCAGAATCAATATAAATGTTTTTTATTTTAAAGAAAATTCAGATTTTACATAGTAAAAAACTGTAAATTATAGTGTCCGTCCAAAAATTATTTTTTACAGATAGTGAAAACTACCCTTGGATGATGGGTTAGTAGACTAAAAGCTTTAGGAATCCAAAGTACAACATATAATAAGTACCCTGTATCAAGATTGATGCAAAACAAGTGAAATTTGACCTTTTTAGAGAGATTTAGCCAAAAACTGGGCCATCTGGGGTCATTTGGGTGGATTTGACCTATCTCTGGCCCCCCTTGCTCGATCTGGTTGGTTGACATACCCTTGTGACCGTTAGAGCCAATAGAATCGAAGGAGGATACTCACATAGACACACATTGTAAAGAAAAAATGTTGCCGCTTCGCGTGTGGAAAGCGAAACTAAACTGGAGGAATGTCTCCTTCTGGAGTTTGGAAACTAAAACGCAGTTGTATTGCTTATGGATTATCAGAAATAATTTCAAAGAAGGCACAGACACATAGGATGAACCTATGGATTAACTGCAGCATCGTTTTTTTATCGTTTTAATGCCATTGAAGACCACTTTTGACCAAGGTAAGCCATATTTATATGTTTAGCTTCTTGGCTCCACATGTGATGATGTACGCTTTCGTTGATAGCGTCGCGAATGTTTATCACTGAGTGTTGAGGTGGGCACCGTTAGATTCAGTGTCTCCAGGACACCAAAAAATAGTGTTTGGTTGTGCATCTAGGATAAGTAATAAGGGAGTTCTGAGTGAGTTTATGTGCCTTTGTCGGTCCCGTTTTTTCGATCGAGGCTAATTCAGAGGCTGAGTGCTAGCATTGTGGGTTTTTTTTGAAAAGAAAAATTAAAAAGATCAGTTAGCTGAGTTTCTTCCCGTTACATGGATATAACACATTCATAGTTTTATTCAATATTAAGATTCCTTAGACGTTGTTTCCTGCAAATGACGCGTTTATCCGCCCGGTACCGGGGGGAAGGCGTGAAACAGGTTAAAAGATACAATAAGATACAAATATAATAAAAAGTTCAAATTAACATTAGCGGCATGTATATATAGTAAGAATACAAATCAAAAGATTAATAAATGAATCAAGAAAATATTTTGCAGATTAAATGATTATGAAAACAATCATATTCATTATTTCACAGAAAGAAACTGTCGTAATGACTTCATTTTACTCGTTCAGTAAGCAGATAATAACTGAGTTTAATGATGATGTACAGTTAGTTTGAGGAAGTGAAGCTTATGTCATTGGTTGCATGGTACTAAAAAGCCTAACTTTGAAATATTTGAGACTTTCATGCTGAGACTCTGATGGTTTACCAATGACTGTCTTTCTTCACTGGCTAACCAGGAACTTGTTACTTCTTTAAATGATGAAGCCCCTCCTCCAAACACAACACAGCTCTACTCTCCTCACTTATAGTAGATAAAGTACATTATTCAAAAGTTTACATTCACTTTAGATAATAACACGGGATAAACGGATCCTCTCTCTCTCTCTCTCTCTCTCTCTCTCTCTCTCTCTCGATGATTTTCTTGGAATCTTTGGGACACAGTTTGGTAAAAAACTAATATTTTTTGTTGTTAAATGAGTTTGATGACGGCCTCTGGCTTTTTAACACTAACACTTTTAATGCTGCATGTTTGCAAAATCCTTAGTAACACATTTTTTTGGGTGTTCTTGTTGTTGTTGTTGTTGTTGTTCTGACTAAAGGTTTACTCGGTCAGTTCAGAAATGACCACAAACTGTTCAAAGTTCATTTCAAATTTAGCAAACATTTATTCAGATAGAAAGGGTCTCTAGTTACATTTTGAACAAAAAAACTCATGTGAAATATTGTAAACTCCACTTCTCCACATTTACCTGTTCAAGTGAAAGAATGTTTCACTTTTTAATTATTTTCAAAGAGCCGGTTTGTGCTTGTTATGTTTCAGTTTGAGAAGTGTGTGTGTGTTCGGCTGCATTTCCTCTGAAAACCAAACATAATTTAAACCACAAACAGCTCAGTCTGTGAAAGATGAAACTCATTTCCTCCCCGTTAACCCTTTAAACTCCTCTTCCTCTCAGTGGAGATGCAGCCTGTCTGTCTGTGTGGAATATTTTGTACAATATGGACTTAGAAATTATTTATCTATTTATCTAATATATCATATTCCAATAACTTGCATATAGACTCTTATTGCACTATTTCACTATTTCACTTTTTTAAACTACTTGCACTATATTTCTGTTTATCTGTTTTATTGTGTTGCACTGTTGGAGGAGCCTGTGACCTAAGATGTTCATCGTCATAACTACACTGTAGCTATGCTCGTATGACAAAATAAAAACCTTGAACCTTGTTATGCATGCCCGCCAAAAAGGAAATGATATCGTTTCCAAACCTAACTTTTTTAGGTCAATGCAGTTCAATTTGCTGAATTAATTTTAAACCCCCTTTCTCCATGACAACCAAACAAACCAATAAGATGGTTACATGTTGAAATCTCCAGTAAAAGCAAGTGAATGAACCCTGGAGTTGTAAATCTAAGAGGGCATATTGACGGATTAATCAACCCTGAAGTCACAAAAGCATGCATTTGCAGAGACTTCCTGAGAAAGATTTATTTTGGGAGCTTCTAGCAGGTTTCTCTTATTGTGTTATAGGGGTAGTTTCCTGTGTGAAGTCTCTGCAGAACCAATGTGAAAACTACAAAGTGAGACTATAAAAACTAACCTGGCTATGAGAAATGTATTTGAAAGCGTATGTGTTTGCATTGTTGCTGAATTTGTATCTTCATGGTTGATTGCAATTATATTGTGAAAACCTTTGGATGAAGGTCAAATGTAAAAAAAAGTTGTTGATTACAAATACATTAGGAATATGCTCACACGTTTTTGATATTAAATACAAATAATGTGACTCATACTCATGGCTGGTCACACCTTTACCCAAACAAACAAACAAACAGCTGATGGTCACACTGGGGGAGTTTAACATTAAATACAGAAAGTAAGATGACGTTATAGAGAAATGACAGAAATACAAAGTGTACTCACTGAGAACGAAGAAGATCAAACTGTGGCAGA